AAGCAACTGCCATGTGATTGGTTGATTAGATAATTGCATTAATGAGAAATTGAACAGGTGTTCCTAATAATCCTTTAGGTGAGTGTATATAAATGAATACTTAGCAGTCAGTTATTGGCATATTTAATGCAAAGCAGGATTGTGTGAGCTCAGCGTGCCACTAGACAGTGCCCTTCAGCCAGACATCAGAGAGGCTGCTGGAGCGTTAGCCAGGGGGTGTGGTCTGCACCGGTTCAATTATATTTGTAATGTGCTATTTGCCTAACAGGTAACTTGTTTTGAATAAATAAAATGTAAATGTCTTCTCGTGGACCAGGTGGCCAGCACCCAGACTTAGGCACCATGACAACGCAGACACTTACACTGAAGCTGTCTTAGTGCTTATTAGTGCTTATTAGCTTATTAGTGCTTATTAGCTTATTATTGTCTTAGTGTCTCACTGGGCAAATGTTAAAAGCAATGGTGCCTGGTGTCAGTGTCAGCCTACTTTTGCTGCACATGCCTGATACCCATTTGGAGTGTGTTGCTTGATAGGGTTGTGCTCTTGTCTGGAAGGTCGTGGGTTTGAATCCCGTGGGTTGGTGCAGCAATCTTATAACTACTGGGCTCCTGAGCTGGAACCCATCTGCTCCTGGGTTGTTGAATACTGGCTGATCCTGACCTTTGACCTCTAGGCTTTCCTTATTGTTTATTACATTTGACTCTATATATGCGCAGTCTACTGGCCAATCTTCACTGATTGCACATTCCATCAGTAACAGCAGAGTGTGAAGGTTGAATTAGCAGAGCAATAGCACAGCTGTACATAAAATATTACAATCCACACAACATAATAGGAGGCACTTCAGAGTTTAAAAGAGGACTAATTGTTCGTGTGCATCTCACTGGTGCATATGTGACCAGGACAGCAGCCAGGGCCAGCTTCACAGACCTTAACTAGTGATTTTTATTTTACGCTTCTTCCAATATGATAACTGCACCTTATTTGTGGATTTTTTTTTCTATAGATCAGCTGCAGTACAAATTGGACAGAAATCCACAAATAAATAGGAGCAGAGTCACAAATGTTGCGTGATCTACAAATACACGGGAAATGATCCACAAATGTGCAAAACCCATTTCAGGTATACAAATTAATGCTCCATATTTTTGTGGATATAATTTTACATAACACAAATAAAAATACGTATTTGTGGATAGTGATGCATTTGTGATTTTTTTTCTACAAATCAGCTGCAGTACGAAGTGGACAAAAATCCATAAATAAATAGGAACACGATCCACATATAGAATGTGAAGAAATTTTAAAAATACATATTTGTAGATAGTGAAATATTTGTGGATTATGGTACATATTTGTGGATTGTCGTCTGTGGGTTACAAATAACAAAGTCCAATAAAAAAATTGATAGTTACAAACTGGTAAAATACTACCAAAAATACTCCATGTAGTTTGGTGTAATTCAGCCACATCTGAATCTTCTAATTATACACTTGAAATTTGCTTGTTTAGTTTATTGCAACTAGCTTTAACAAATATATTGAATAGTTTGGGTATTCAAGCAGTGGTTTATGAACCAATGTCCTAGAATGAATAGTGACTAAATAAATAAATAATACATTCTGGGCCTCACTTAAATAATTCGAAATCTATGAAATTCATAAAAAGTGATATTACCCTTAGTCTCTGTGACTATACCTGGATGAGTGATTACTAAAATTAAATGAAAGACTGGATTTTAAGCCAGACTGTGATGGGTGTGTTCTGTTTATCTTTACATATATCTGTGTATTTAGTTAGTAAGAGACAAGGTATCACTCTTTAATTGAGCCTCCATCTTTTATGTTATGTTTGGCATGTCATATGACTCCGCACATGTCTGTCTCTGTCTGTCTGTCTGTGTTTATGTGCGTTTCACGCCTATAGGCCTGTCGCCTGCACAGAGTTCTTTATCCACATTGAGAGAGAGGCTACCTGCCCCTATGTCTGCCCCAGCTAACCGGAAGTCCTCCTCAGGATCACGCAGGTAACCCCCAGCATGTTGTTGTCTTCCTCATCTCTCATAATTCCATCACTTTCCTTGATTTATACCACCCATCAGTTTCTCCCTTGCATCTTCCTCTGTCACGTCTCCTTCCCTGTTCCTCCACCTGACTTATCTTCGTCTCCCTCCAGCTCCCTCGACTCTCCACCCTCTAAGTGTATACATATTTCAGCTCTTGGAGTACACCCTTAGTCCAGTGGCGGCTGCTGGTCTTTCAAACAGAGAAAGCTCATATTAGGCCTACATCATAAAATTCACTATGTTATTTTTACATGAATTCTGCCCTCCATTCCTTTTGCAGAAAGTGGACCCTGTCGTACCAATTAGCTGTTTATTCCAGGGACTTAACCAGTTTCCTCTCAATGGACAGGAGAGAAAGGTTGCTCAAACGATCTTGGCCCATCGTGTTGTGGGTGTATGACTTGACCCATTTTAAACAGGAGAAGCTCCTTTCTACACCTGCTGATGTAGCACCAATTGTTGCCAATAACAATAACAGCTTGTATAGCTGAGGCATTGAACTCCATGTCTTTAAAAATCACACAACTTAGCCCTGCTCCCATGTAAGTCAAGGTCTGAATATGGCACTTGAAGTTCAGATCTCAGTCTCCCTGAGTCAAAGAAATGCCCATAACTTTTCAGGACACTTTCAAATGCCTCCTCTGGAAACACTTGTCTCATTTCATCAAATTTCCCTGGATTGACTAGTTCTAAGAAGCTCATGCTTTCCAAATTTGAAAAACGCTAAGAAATCTGCTCCATGAGATTGTCTAGGATGGCCATGTACAGATTTCTGTAGCGGTCCTGGGGATCCTGCAGTTGTGACAGATGGTGCTTTATCATTGGTTCATCTTGAGGGTCTGATTTGAGATTTGCTGTTTTTGCATAAACTGCTTGATAAGCCTTCTCTGACCTCAATTCTCTTTTTGAAGAATATCCATAGACATTTGCTGGACAATATCAAAGACAACATCTGTCTCAGAGAAGATTTGTTCATATGTGTACAACATCAACACAAACTCAAAATCCTCCAGTTTCATTATGAAGCCTTTGGCAACATCTAATGTGTCATCATCCGTGCTCTCATCCTGGGTAATCTTGTCAAAAGTCTGCAGGAGGCCATCATAATTGTTTGCCACAGTGCTCACTATCCGTGATGTGAAATTCCATCGAGCAGGAGCATTTCTGGGCAATCTTGAAGATCCCCCAAACCCACGTTTGACCAAACAACACATCCCATTCCCTGATAAGGTTTCATCAAGAGGCATGGCCAACAGTACATTTTCTTTGTCACAGCACTTCCAGTCAGCCAGTTCACCTTCTCATTCCAGGAGAGCTGAAAAGACCTGTTATTTTTCCCTGATTTTTGCACCAAATCAATCTTGGGCGTTGGTCTGCCCTACTGTTTAATTCTGGGTCTTTCCACATAAGGAAGACTATAAAATGGCTTTGCTGAAAGCAGGTCAACAATATTAGCACCGTCTGCCATTATGCACAGCTTGCTAGCTGGCTAGTTTCCCCCTCCACGAGCTCCTTTAATTATATGAATGAACTAACTTTACAATGCTGAAACAAGGAGCAAAGTCAAGAACGCTATAATATTGTTTTTATTTTTTTAATTTAAAGAATGATTTGTACAAACAAAAATGGCTTATATCACCAGCAAACAACAGAGTGCAGCAGTTTGTCTTACGACTTCACCTGCAAATCCGCATGGGACTGAACTCGAATCTCTGTAGTGCCGGTGTATACTTAAAACATGCTGTCAATCAAAAAGGGGTTCTGCCCTTTAGACAGCTCCTCCAATCATCAAGCAGCAGCCCAGCATCCTGGCCCGCCCACTGCTCCATTCACTCCTAGAGACGCTGAGCTTCCCTGGAAGTGACGATTCTGGTGCATTAATCCAATAACCGTCCAGCTTTTCTGCAGTGAAAAAAGCTCTTCTGTGCCAGGCCACAGAGGTCCAGTGAGGCTGTGCTTCAGGAGGTTTTCATGCACTGTGCTGCCAGGAAATGTTTGAGAAGAAAATCGTGCCAAACAATCTACAGTAAATAGCTGATTCTGAACAAGCTCATCATGAAGTTGAACGCATTCTGGTGCACTTTTATTAAAACCAATATAAATACGATATTAGAGAAAGCGGAGCTTCCCTTGCAGTCGCCACTGCCTTAGTCGTCCTCGTATCACTCATCCCTTGTATTTGCTTCTCTTTCTCTCACTCCATCCCTCTATTCTCCGATTAGAATTTAGAGAAAGTTTTTAGTGGCTGACCCCTGCCTTTCCCCATAGGCACAGATCTTTCTGCTTATTTTTAGGTATGACAGCACCTTGCAGTGAAATAAACTCTTCACCCTTCCAGCACCACCTTCCAGCTCCTCTTGTGTTTTCTACGCTCTCTGACTTGTGAAATATGTCTCCCAAATCCCCGATGACGTACTTCTGCAGTCATCATTAGGTGACCTCTTATGTGGTTCTCCATTTCCCTCGAAGAATAATTTAACCCCAAAGTACCCAAAAAAAGAGGATAAATTCTAGTTATAAAGCAATATGAAAAAAGAACATACTGCTGTCCCTCTCAACTGACTTCATTGTGCCAGTTAAATGCTTACATGGCTGTCGTGAAGGTCATGGGAACTTGAACTTGTTGATGCTAAGTACAGAAGTTTATGGAATTGCATTTACATAAATAGTTTGAGCCTCGAAAATTTGATTTCCTGCTTGAAAGGCTCTTTTCGTCACATCACTGACACAACCTAAGATTCACACTTGTCCCAAAGCACAAATTACTATGCTGAACGTGCCTATTTTGGCTTTTGTCAGGGAAAGCTTGATGTTTAATGCTGATTTAATGAATAAGCCAATATTTCATGTATTCAAAGGACACTGTTAATAAGGTTTGTTAGTTTAGGACCTTGACAATCTGTGGACATGGCTTATGTTAATAGCGATGTCCATCCACCCAAATTTTTGCAGGATCATTGTTTTACGTAGAGCTTTGAGTTTCCATCCATTTTGCCTTGTTCTTGAGAATGTGTAGGTAGCATGGCGCCCATGCCTGAACGCTCCATCCATGCCTGTCCTTCTCTTGTTTCTTTCTCCAGATTCAACCCCCTGAAGGCTCTGCAGCCAAAACGGCGTTTGCAGCAAATGTTGTCCTCCCCTACTGCGTGAGAGACGCTTCTTTCACTGCGTCATGGCACACACACACGCATGCACACTCATGTAAATTGTAGCATTAGTCCAGACACGCACACACAGCTGCACGCACATGTGTGCATCAGTCCGTGAATTCTGAGGAAGATCACCTGAAAAGAGACAAATGCATGTGACCATAATGATACACACATACACCAGTTTAACGTTTCCACGCAGCCATCATTCATGGCAGCTTGCTTGGTGTGTAAAGTCTGTTGTTATGAGGTGACATTAGTACCAAAATCTAATTGTGTTCAGAAGTCTATCCATCGTGGTTGATCCCAGACAGCATCACAGGGAACCTGTACATGAGTACAAGCTAAGCTGGTTAGCTCAATCTCATGTTCTCAGTTTATTCAATTGAGAAGGAATTATCACTTTATACTGCTAATCACCCATTTTTTCAGTAATTATAGTGCATGTGCCTTTTTTGATGTGCCAAATTATTTAATATCTCTGTAGAATCTATATAGAAGTAAAATTCCTAAATTGACAATTAGTTAAATTTTGCCGTTAATGTCATCCAGAGTTGATTTGGTAAAGCACCTCAACACAACTGAGGGGTATCTTCTGAATCAGAAAAGACTTCATCCAACTCAAGTAAAGCAGACAACCCCACCAACCTTACCACCTACCATAATACCAGCCGGCCTATTAGTCACATAAACCAAGGCGAGGAGATGTGCCAGCAGAACGTGTGCTGCCAAGTCCCTCTGGCTTGCTTGGTTTCCATCTGTGAACTTTAAATTGCTTTCTTTGCTTTCTAGGTTTGCTTCTGCTGCTTTCACCAGTCTTTTCAGTAGCTTGACTGCCCCTTATCATTCCTCTATCTCCTTTCCCCTTCCTTCATATGTACCTATAGAAGTTCAGCCTTCCTCTGGGTCCCCTCCATCCAGTGCTAGGGCCCGATGATTGGATAAGCTCAGGTCCACCTGGACCAGAGGCCAGTTTTCATTGCTTAATTGAAGTCTCATGACCTCACACCTGGAAAATGGAGATACTCCATACGCTGAGTGTTTCCACTGGTCAGAGAGAACTTTTGGTATATTAAAGCCACCATTTGTGCAGTTCCACTTACATCTCTTTATCTCTTGGAACTGTCATTTGACTAACTGCATGCTGTTATTGCACATACATTCTTTTCTTGCTCAAAAAGAAAGTCATGTTTCCTGATATCCTTTCCAGTCATTGCTAACTGGTCAGTATTTAATATGAATGAAGATAGAAGAGCACACAAAAATAATAAGATTTTGTAAGGCATGTAAAGCAACAGGGACATAATCAGGTTAAGATTAGTACTGCTTTCTGCAAAACTCGCTATTTTATGTGCTGACTTACATGGAGAGAGAGTAACTAAGCAGTGAATTAATCAGTAATGAGCCAGGATTAAGAAGGTGCTGTGAGGTGCCCCACTCAGCATCAATTCCTGGTTCTTTTTCTGTGGTGCTAGGATCAAAGAATGAAAGCAAGTTTGTATTTAAGCCAAAGCACAGTTCAAGTGTCAGCTGTGTTTTCATGTAATGTGCTGCTTTTTTATTTTATGTATTGATTGGAAGTTGAGGAGCCTTCTGGAAATGGCTGAACCTCAAGCTTACTGGTCACCTGTATTCACTGTCTGTAATAGCCTCTTATTTCTGGCCAGTTTTGACTATTGCAGGTTCATAGAGCTAGACATTCCAATGGAGGCAGGCTTAATGGTTTCAATGCGGCAAAGTCGTGGATTTCTGTACCCGGAGCGGCACAATCGGTCAGCACCTCCCCTTTCTCCACAGCTCCATCTCCTAGTTAGACATCCACCATTACACATAAAAAGCAGTCCCATTTTGTTTACTTTCATTTTCACTTTGTTTGTTTTTTGATTGTTGATTGTATGAAGTGCCATACGTTGTTTTCCTGAGTGCTATATTTCCTCTAGAGAATTCAAATGACAGTGTTCTGTTTTAGCCTTTGATTTTCATTTTTTCTGTGTAATTGTTTTATTCCTGTCCTGGTAGTGAGGCCGTGTTTAAGATAAGTCTGGTGTCTTGTTCACGTCTTGTGGAATTGCTCTGGATATCTTGCTCTGGGAGATGTATGGCCTGCTGTGTCGTCAGTGTCTTTGTGGGCTAGACACCATGCACTGTATTGGAGCACTGAGATCTTCTGTGTCCTGTTCCCCTCAGACGGCCTGCGGCCCCGGTCAGCACCAGGGACCCCTATGGCACCTCCTCACTCAGCAGTAGCTCTGGATCCTGCAAGGGCAGCGACGGGAGCCCTGTGCCAAGGTAACAGAGACCATGCACGCAAACGAGATGCCTACTAGACCTAGCTTACTCCTGCTCTATGTGCTCCACAGTGCAAACATGGGTAACTTTTACATCAAAACCAGGTGGGACCCTCATAAGCGTAGGTTAGTGTCATAAAATTTAAATGAAAAGGAAGGGTTTTCCTGATATAGTCTGAGGCTGAGATCTAGACAGAGAATTTCTACGTCAAAACTGGCTCTGATCTTCATGCTGTTGTCTAAACCCTCCTCTGTTTCAGGCGTCAGGTGAAGTACACCTCCTGCAGTGACAACCATGGCATCCGTCCACCACCCCCGGAGCAGTACCTCACCCCTCTGCAGCAGAAGGAGGTGTGCATCCGGCACCTGCGGGCCAAGCTCAAGGAGACCATTGAGAGGCTGCAGGACAGGTGAGCAATGGGTGTATCTTTGCAGAGCGTGTCTCTGTAGGACAAGTCTCTGACGGGCATGGCTCTGCCAAGCGTGTCTGCAAGGCATATCTCCACTGGGCGTGGCTCTGCTGGACATGTCTGCAGGGTGTGTCTATGCCAGGTGTGGCTCTGCAGAGCATGTCTCTGCAGGTTGTGTCTCTGCCGTGCGTGGCTCTGCCGGGCGTGGCTCTGCAGGATGTGTCTCTGCAGGCCATGTCTCTGCTGGGTGTGGCTCTGGCCGGAGTGGCTCTGAAGCTCGAGTCTCTGCAGGCTGTGTCTCTGCCGGGCGTGGCTCTGCAGGATGTGTCTCTGCAGGCCATGTCTCTGCTGGGTGTGGCTCTGGCCGGAGTGGCTCTGAAGCTCGTGTCTCTGCAGGCTGTGTCTCTGCCGGGCGTGGCTCTGCAGGACGTGTCTCTGCAGGCCATGTCTCTGCTGGGTGTGGCTCTGCCCGGAGTGGCTCTGAAGCTCGAGTCTCTGCAGGCCATGTCTCTGTTGGGTGTGGCTCTGCTGGGTGTTCTGTCACTTGTGGGGAATTTTATCCATTTATGTCTTCCTACCTTCAAGGCTTGCCCTCATGTGCCCTTGGAAAACCTACCATCCACAAAATTGCTGTCCATTGGACACATTGGACAGTTAATTGAACATATTCATGTTGCTGAATTTCACACCAGATGTACAATTATGTTAAGAAATAATGACATATGCCAGTATATTGGATTGTATTGCCAGATGTGTTGTCTGATTTTATATCTAACTGCCCTTGTAGCAACAAGCGAAGTTTAATATTGTTTGCAGTTCCAGATATTGTGTCTGAAATAGTTATGAAAGCTGCATGATTAAGGTGTAAAATATCTGGTTCTCTGCTAAATAAGCTGGATGTTTCCCCAGTTGAAGCTGAAGCTGATCCTTTTGGACTCTCCATCTGTCTTGTGCCCCTGTTTCTCCTGCTCCCAGGGACACTGAGATTGATGAGCTAAAGACCCAGCTGTCGCGTATGCAGGAGGACTGGATCGAGGAGGAGTGCCACCGCGTGGAGGCACAGCTGGCACTGAAGGAGGCGCGCAAGGAGATCCAGCAGCTAAAGCAGGTGATCGACGTTGTGCGGACCAACCTGGGCCAGGCAGACACGGGCGTGCAGAAGTACTTCCAGGACATCAACATCCAGAACCGTAAGCTGGAGACGCTGCTCTACAACATGGAGCTGGCTCAGAACGGCTCGGGCCACGAGGGCGAGGATGAGGCCGGAGCGGGACCCGGACTGCCTCTGTCTGCGTCCTGCGAGGGCTCACCAGCGCGATCCCTCACCCGCAGCTCCACCTACACCAAGCTGAGCGACCAGGGGCTGGCCGACAAGAATGGCAACGGGCCTGACTTCCCGAGCCTGTCGGGGGAGGAGACGCAGGACAGCGGCTGCGTCTGCGGGGATAGCCGGGCCAGTCGGGCTGACCTCCTGCTGGAGGCCACGCTGCTGTCGGAGGAGACGTCATCGCTGCTGAGTGTCTGCTCCCGCCTGCCACACTCCTCCACCTATGAGAAGCTCTACAGCAGTGAGAGGGCACTGCCGCTACGGTGCAGTCGCACCTGCCGCAGCCACCCATGCCTGTCCCACCACCACCTCTACTTGCACCACCTCAGGGAGCAGGGCATCCAGACAGACTGCGGTGCCCCTTACAACTGCGACCTGGACACCATCACGGAGAAGGCCTGCAAGTCCCAGGCCTGCAGCCCTACCTCCATCTGGCTGTCGGAGGAGGGCGAGGACTTTGACACCATCACCTCGGTGACCACAACCACCACGGCCGCCGATCCCACTCCGCTGCCACTGCCCCGGTCCCCCTCCTGCCCCCTGGACCTACCCCCCATAGAGGACGAAGAGGTGCCCTTGCAGCCCCTACCACCCCAGACCTGCCAGCCCAAAAGCACGTCCCCCCCAGGAGTGACGGTGGTGGTGGTGGAAGAGCAAGATGAGGGTGGTGGCATGGGAGCTGCGGTGCCATCCTCAGCGCCTCCCCAGAAGAGCTACTGGAGCCGGCACTTCCTCGTGGATCTACTGGCAGTGGCTATGCCAGTGGTTCCGGCAGTGGCCTGGCTGTGCCGAGGCCCTCGCAGGGACGGCCAGCCCGTCTACCAGATCGGCTCGCTGCTGCGGGGTTGCTGCACCGTCGCACTGCACTCCCTGCGCCGAGGGGGGGGCACAAGGCACTACCCAGCAGGGGGCGGCGGTGGGCTTGGGGGCATTCCCATTTGAACCAGCCCGTACCCTCAGTCCAACGAGTTATGTCACCTGAAAGAAGCGCACTACTCACCGTATGACCTCCTCCAGCCATAAACTGATCTCTAATATCACTTCCCTCGCCGTATTGGATTAAAGAGAGACACCAGAGATTCTTTGGATCGACGCTGATTGTAATACCCAGCCGGAGTGCCGAAGGACAGGTCTCCGCTTCTCTCTTTCTCACTCTTTCCGTCTGCCTGTCTTTGGAAGGTGATGGTTCTGGTGGCCGGGTTCCCCTGCCCCACCCACTACTCTGTGTCCATGAGTCCGCGTGATTTTTTTCCTTTTTTCTCCTTGACCGTCATCATCATGGGGAAACTGAGTGAACAGCTGCCTTGGGCAAAATATCACATAAAAAACCATAAGCTGCTGCAGCTGTGAGTTTTAGTAATAGATATCTCAGCCTTGTGGTCGTAGAATTGGTGGTGTCCTAGTCCATATTTATATATTATAACACATGATGGAAACACCTTGAACAAAATAGTACATGCATCCTTCCTGGTGCCTAATATTGAAGAGGTTCAAAGGGACAAGAAATGTTAAATATTTGTGTTTATTCCAGGTATGCTGAATGACAGTGTTATGTTTTATGTTTGTTAGCTTGCTTTTAATTTTTTTATGTGAAAATGGTAACGCTTTATATCGAAGAGCCCTACATAAGACCTTCATAATACCTATATAAACTGTGTATCCTACAAGCCAGCACCCCTCATTTCCCCGGGTCTCTCTTTTCGCCCCTCTTTCTGCTGTACTCCTGTTATACAATTTCTCCCGATTTTACGCATCCACATTTTTATGATCGTGAGCAGACCCAGCACAGCAGGGGGCGACAATGCACATATAAGTGTAGCATGCACCAGCAAATGAATACAAAAAGAATGTGTTTGTGTGTGCATTCCCTCTTCTTTCCTACATTTACACTTCCAGTTAGCGCGCAAACGTCAGAGAACAGCAAGCTAAAATGAGTGAGATGAGTGAGACCAAAAAGAACAGGTTCTCCTGTAAGTTGTAAGTTGTAAATCAGATCTTTCAATTATATTCATTATGTCTTAAAGTAATTATGACAATGCTATTTTTTCTTTTTTATCAGACATGTCTGATAAAAAAGAAAAAATAGCATTGTAAATCAGATATTTTAATTTGAGAGCCAAACATCACATCTTTTGTAAGCTGCATTGGACCAACTTCAGCACTGAACATGAAGGTAAAACCGATGTGGTTCATCACACAAAACACAGCTAATCACAGACAGGGCAATACAAGCATAAGTTCTTTCATCCTATGAAGTCGTTCTGAGGCAGATCTGCTTACTGTACTAAAATCTCCCTAATTATCACAACCTAATACTGGCAGGTGTGCTGTGTGTGCTTTCTCATTTGTCCCTGTAGGCCTTATGAATGCGTGACGCAGTTTATGATGTTATGAAGGTCTCGTGTCACAACTGAAATGTGAAATTGTTCTTATCAGTGATGCTTTACAGACAATTCTGACAGATTTCCCTTTAACCATCACTCTTTCTTATTGCCCTAGAATTATTATGCGTTTTTAACTTATTATTTAAACTGTTAAACTATCACTTGTGGATTTGGGGGGCGGGGGGCTCATTAGAAATTTTCATAAGACAAATCACATACCAAAGCATTTATTATCATCTAATCAGACACCACTTGGGGGGGAAAACATTGTTCAAGACCAAGTACTTTTCACTGGAAACCTATAATCGAAAAGAGTATATTGTTTTATGTGTGTGGTTGTTCAGTCCTTGTAATCGCACTATAAATCACTTTATGAAATTAGCTACTACTTGAAGTTACATTGCATGTCTCTAAGAGGACCCCTCAGTGATAAGGGGATAAATGCATTCTTGTGTAATAATTTTTAAAGAAGGCAGGGAAGTTCAGTTTTACAGGGATGCACATCTGCAAGGAAAAATTTTCTCCAATACCTGAGTTTTTAGATTATTGAATTTATCTGCAATAGAAGAATTTACTAGATGGCTGTGTCCTAGTTAATATTGCACTGGACATTTCGCCAGCTTCATGATTTATGATAGTTTTGTTTTTTCCCTCTGAACGCAAAATAAGTTGCCTTTCAACCTTTTTTTCATTGTGAGTGTGGCAGTGTCATGTTTTGGCTTGACAATCCTTTAGAGCTTTGGGAAACAATAATACAGCACAGTCTGTCAGGTGTAGCAAACATCTCAAACTCAAATCGCAAGCACTTACAATGAAACTATGAAAAGTATAATAAACAGTACAAATGAATGAACTGATAAACAAATATGGAGCAGTTCTCTCCAAAAGAGAAATGTTTAAAACCTTTAAATGATCTGTATCCTTTTTATGGGCTGAAAGTATGTTTATCTTGCATTATTGGTTTGTGAGTGTGCCATTTAATGTGACCCATGAAATGTCTCTTAAACTGATATGTGAGGTTCACATATTTTTTTTGAAAGCCATATTCTAACATAGATGTTTGTGGTACAGTCAGTGCCAGACCATGACTTGGTTGCGTACGTCGGACTTGGGTGTTGGTTCTGACCCTCGTCACCTTTGCAGCCCTCTGTGTCTGGCCGCTTCTGTGGAGTCACACTGCTCTGCTGGGCATCTCACCGGCATACTGAAGGTCCCTTGGAGCATTCATGACTCGTGGGGCTTTCAAGCAGAATGCAACAGGTGAGCTCAGATGGAGGTGGAGAGGGACTGATATGAAATGAAGATATGCAGTCTGAGGACATTGATTTAAGGCTAAAAAACAACTGGTGTCTAATAAGCCTGGCAACCTGTAATAAATAAATATGGTAATACAAGTAATAAGTCGTGGCTGATGAAACTATCTTTTTAATCTTTACTTACGAAAACCAGAACACAACTTAATAAACCAAGCCCTGGGTTTTGTCATTGTAATGTTATTGGACCAAAGAAAATCCATTACAGTTTTCCTTGTGGATGTTTCTGCAGGGGGCAGCATGGTGGTGCAGTGGGATCTGGGTTCAAGTCTCTACTCTGGCTCCATGGGTTTACGTGTTTTCCCTGTGTAATTGTTGATTTTTCTCTGGGTACTCTGGTTCCCCCCTCCCACAGTCCAAAACATGCTATTACCAAATTGCTGATTGGTGTGAATGTGCCCTGTGATGCTTTGGTGCACCATCCTGGGTTGTTTCCTGCCTTTTGGCTCTGGACTCCCTGTGACCCTGAATAGGACAAGTGGTATCGGAAGATGGATGTTTATGCCCATTGCAGAATAATTCAGTTGTGCATGTTTTTGCCTGTAATAAATGTAGCGCTACTGCAGGACTGGAGGACAAGATGTCAGTGTGAGAGCGACTCAGCCAAAATGCTGCTCTGGCAAGCAAGCTCGTTAGCAGACAACCTTGGGGCCAATCCTAGGAAGCCGGATTCCCCGCCTTGGGACAGGCTCTGCCTCCCCCGTGACCATGACATCGGTAAGCAGTGCATTGGATGCATTTGTAGTTCCTTAGCAGATCACTGGTACTGGGCAGGGCCTCAATGACTAAGCAGCTCCAGTCTCTCGGCACAGTGAGTTGTTGGCCACATGTGCCCTTGCAGTGCTGCTGAGGAGCAGGAAGCGTGGGGTTTGGACCACAGCCCTCAACTGTGAAAGCCCTCACTGCGGGATCCCCAGCAACAGTGTCATGCCCTGCAGCCCTTGGTGACATCATTTGTTCTGTCCCATCTCTCTGGTGACAGTAACCATCAACACGCTGCTCTCACCCCCCTTTCAAGATGGATGAACTTGGATGCGGAGAGCTCAAGCTATTGCACTTGGATGTGCCTTTCCCTCTCTGAATCGAGACAGTAGACCATCCAGTGTGTACTTCACTGATCTTGAAAACACTGCTAACAAGGCGTAACAAGTGTTTAGTAAGGGTTTTGAGGTTCTGGCTCTTTGGTTAGCAGGACACGCATCAAGCGTTGATGGTGCTCTCCATCCTCGGCAGCTGTGGTCTGGAATAGGGTGTCAAACCAGGATTCCTCCCTTTAGATGTTCGCTTCATGCAGCAAAGTGTTTGTCGCTAACTATTAGTGACAGTTCTGATAATTATAACCTGCAATCAAGAATAACAACGACACAGCAGGTGCAACTTTCCAGCATTAAATGGTTTAATCTGGGAGGGCTATGCCAAACACTTTAATCCTATAATGTTATATAACCATCAAATTAATATAACTACTTAGAACAATTAGCCTGTTCCTGATAATTTTAAACTAAAATGTGTAACTACTGCTATTCCTTAGAGTCATTTACCTGTATTGTATTACATTAAAAACACAAATTCACATGCAGGGTGACAAGTCAAGTATGGTCAGAAAGCGTTGCTGATCTTTAATCAGCTTTTGGAGTATTAATATTGAACCATTACATGAATTTCTATCCCAAGGATTTAGCTCTTTGTACAACAACAAATACCAATTCTTCTTCCTGTCCATATTCAAGGACAGCCAGGAACCTCACCTCAGCAGAGAAGTGTGTGAGGTTAAGTACAGGAGTGAAACTTTTTGCTACTAGCCAACTGGGTTAGTACAATAAAAAAAAATAGTGTGACATACAGTTTTACTAGCTATTGGGCTAGTGTTCAGTTTTCTTGCCTCAGGTGAGAATTTCCAGTCCTGGTTATGTTGCCAAGCTGGTGGAACTGAAAATTTTTCCTGTGACTGTCATCTGTGGTTGTGTGTGTGTACACATTCCTTTGTGCGCAGTGTTACTATGACAATGGGGTTGGGATGCATCTGTGTCACATACAAGCCCCACCCCTTATCTGTCACAATCCCACACCAGATCTTACTATGTAAAAGGTCATAAAGCTTATCTTATGTTTCCACACTGTCTGAGTGGCAGTCTCCATTCCATTGCAACTTCATTCTCCGATCCTTTGGCTTCACCAAAGCCAGGAGCATCAGGATATTTTGTGCTTTGTGACCATGGATAAATTTCAAGGCCTTCTGGGAGGGTTTCATAACAGCTCTCTCAGCAATGAGTATATGGAGTGTTCAGGAAAACCTAAAATTGTCCATTTTATTTATTTTTAGAAGTTTAGTATTGTGTGTGTGAAATGTGTTTAAAGCAATTACTATTATGATGGAAGTGTAGCACATATTGGCTCCTGAGTATCAACAAGGGAATGAAGAGGTTACCAGCAATGACACGTGAAGCGAAAGGGATTCCGTAGCTTTTCCTTGGGACTTATGGGTAGCCAAGATCACCCACCATAACTATTAATGCAAACATATAACACTGATACTACTTTATACAGAGATCACTACAGCCATACTGTATAAAGTTTTTGTACATTTAAAATGTAACCAGAATTTCCATTTTCTCCATCTCTGATCATATGATCAATAACATTACTTTTTTTAGAACCAGAACTAACCAATTCCATTATTGTATGCAGTTATTACCCTTCTGTAAAGCTAAAAATGTTACAATGAAAACCCTACAACCAGTATTTTCTAGAAAATAAATCCAACAAAATTGTGCAGTGAAAATTGTGCAATTCACAGTTATGACCAGCAGGTGTCTTTATTCTTGTAATGACCAGGTTACATTTTGTAAATAAATCTGTAGTTTGCTGATAACTGCAATAGATGTAAAAGACTACATTTCTAAAATGCACTTCAAAATCAGCACGATATACATTAATTTGGCTGTTAAATGAAAAGACAAATGAATAACTGACCTTCAGCGAAAACATTTAGATTTGGTTGAAATTATCAGGCACTGCAGCAAAAGCCTACTGTGTGCTGGTTATGTAATGAACAAGTACACTGGATGCATCTGTAACATTATCCCCCGAGTAATAATGAAAATCGAGGCTCTAATTACTTACAGACATTACATAGATATACGGGTATTAATAAAACGCAGAACACTATCTTCACTGCCTTCAATCTGTAGAAACTGGCCAGCCTCAGACTTGTGATATGGTAAGGGTCAAGAAAAGCACTTATAGCATTTATAACGAAACAGGTGACAAACAAACAGTTAACCAAGACCTGGATGATTTTACAGCATTGGTTGAATTACAGAACTAAACCATAATAAAATTCAGCATGGAAGAACCAAGCTACAGTTGGTCATGTGATTTAACAAAAAGGTACAGTGTATTGTGGAACAGGAAAAAATACTAATATTTGCCTACAATAATCCCTTATATAAAAGAAGAAAGATTAACATGTCCTCTGAACAACTAACAGCAAACTCTGAATATGTGTGAGAGAGAGATCCGTGGGAATGCTGAAAAGGCAGCCGGGAGTCTCTTTGGAGATTCACACCTCAGGCACAGAGTGATCCATGGAGGACCGCAGGAGGCCACTGGACATTCTACAGAACAGAAGGTTCAGAAACTGTCATTTGGTCATGCTAAAGTTACCGCATTTCACAGCACAACACAGATACTGAATGACAGTAGCACACAGTGGCAGAAATTCTCTTTAAACCATTATACCCAAAATTAAACAGGGACAAATTTATAGAGTTTAGTAAAAATGAACCCATACAACTGGACTGTAAAAACCCCCAATTATGACAAACGGCACAAAATGAAACCTTATCACCCACACCGTGTCCAAACAGCATGTACACAGTCCAGTGAAAACCGGCCGTTTTACTTCTAAAGACAATTATAAGGGTTAGGATATCAGTAATCCAGACACACCCATTAACACATTGACGATACCAGGCATATGAGCTTACCTCTTCACCATGTACTCATAGATGAACTTGGGCATCACAGTGATGGTCATCGTATTTGGAGATGTGGTCAGGATGTCTTTAATCTGTGAATCCTGCGTGCCAACAATTTTCATTTTTATTATGGTTTGCATATTTGCTGTCTCAAAGGCCAACAGCCAAGTGCCTAAGCCACCAGTTGCACTAGTAAGCAGTGGTGCCAGTTTGTTTTGATCCAAGATATCTGATCACCAAAGTCTTGGCTACATGAAGATGACTAAATGGTGTAGTCGCAACATTCAGTTGGATAAATAAAATAAGAAAAACCTAACTCATGTCACTATGTCTGGCCTCCTTCCATTGAATATGTAGGAGCTCTCATGTGTATGCATGAGCCATTCACACCTGGCCACATCCCCCCCACCCCCTTTTATGGTGCTGATGGGGAAGTATCTGGATCGTGTTTCACCGTGGCATTGTTCATCAAATTACCATGCAAATGCAATTTGAATACGCGCTAATGTGGCTATTCAGAATGAGATTCAGAATTTTTCGGGTGAGAGTGGTACTACACGCCCCCGATGCAGGTAAAAGAAAGTAAGGTTACATGGTTTACTTTTTTGCCTATTTAACCTAATTTTAAAAACTTTAATTACTTCCTACAAAGGACGTTTTGAAAGAAGACAGATTACGGATTTACGGTTTTTTTTCTTCTTCATGATTCTACATAAAGATTTCAGCGAGATACTGAAATACATGAGAAAGATACACGGCATTGCCAATGATTCCCTCATCCCCAGAGGGTTAAAATAAGACTTTCTTACTCTGAATTCTGTATGAACATTACAGTGCAGGAGGTTAAAGTTTCACTAAAATATTTTTACTGTTACCCTGTCATAGGAAAAAAAAAATTCGCAAGCTTTGCAATTTTAATTATTATTCCTTTTCGAGATTATCTAGTATATGTTTAAAAATCAGTTTAAATTTAGATTACCTTCGCCGCTTTTGCATGAGCGCTGCATGTGTTCGAGACAATCATATTTATTTTCATCCTTGTCGTTTAAATCTTTCCTAGATGGGGTTTTGTGAAATTTATGTTGAACTCATTTGTGTTTCATATATACCCCAATATTAATTACAACAAAACCACATTGCAATACTTAGAAATTTTCCAATACCGTGGTGTCTTAGGATATTATACAAAAAACTTTATTTCTTTGTATGCTATCCTGATCTTGGGTCATTTATTTGTCCAGGCATCACGCATCCATTATTTTTTTTATTATTATAATCATCATTATTTTACATCATTTATCATTGTTTTCTGAGTTTGCAACTGTTTTCAAGACGCCAGTTGTATTGCGTTTCAGAGACAGGCTATTTGTATAAACGATCGACAATTCAAGTCCCATCCCAAAGTATAAAGGTACGAAGAAAGTCTGGCCCGCTGGCACCTTTGGTACTGGAACTTTTGGTACGTCTGTTTTGGTTACCCTAATTGAATGGCCAATTGAGCTTTTCCTTTCTGTTGTCAGAATTTGATATGCTGGTCCTGGATCAATCATATGTTTGGCACAGTCATTTTTTTCTTGTGCTTCCTTTTACAGTTTGAGTGCAATAAATGTTTAAATTTAAGAAATAAAATGTTAGAGAATCGCGACCTCAATTCTAAGCCAAAGAATCACAATTCAATTTTTTTCAGAATCGTGCAGCCCGACTCCAACTTGCTTGTGTTAGAGATTTACGCAGGAGAGGACAGCATCTACTTGCTGGCCTGCACTCCTGAAGAGAACGCTGATGCATCTAAGAGGACTTCTCACTTAAAGACCTCACCATGAAGCTTCCTTTGGCTGTCTTGTGAAGAACCCCCTTTCTATATCCCTCTACCCCACCCCCATCCCACTCCCTGCCCCATCACACCATCAGCTTCTTTCCCGACCCCCATCTCGGCTAACAGCACCCACTTTGAGTCCAATGACGTTCTGGCCGTTGATCTCGCAGATGTAGTGGTCCGTCAGCAGGCCATTGCGGGCTGCCGAGCCGTCCTTCACCAGCGAGGTGATGCAGCCTGACTTGAAGATGAAGCCCACGTGCCCTGCACTATCCTTGTGCATGGTGACAGTGCGCTGGAAAGGCCTGAGCAGGAGAATGAGAGAACACTGCTACAATCACTCAGCATAGTGGATCAGAGGATGAAAATGAACCCAGACCCTCAGCAGCTGCCTTAAACCCTACATTGCCAGGTTTTTTTTTTTCCCCAGACAATTTACTTGAAAGCTATTGGTTGGGAAAGACACACATCACTTCAGGAGTTCTTTCCAGTGCGGTGTTTTGTGCCGCTTAGTGTGCACTGTATGCTGGATGTATCAGCAGGGGGAGCCAGACAGCCAAGTTTGAACAGCTCATAAAAAAAAAAAAAAAACTGCAAGGTCATTCCTCCCATTTCGCAGCTATGTATAATTCAGAACAGTTTCCCTGTTCACTGGAAACGCTTAAACTTTTTAGTGTTCAGACTAATATCCGCAAGGTTTATGACACAGCCCCAAAAATGCTGTGAATAGAAAAAGAAACAAGACCAATTTTTGACAGCATCTTAGTGTCACTTCCTGGATTCTAAGGCCCAGCCCCCCCTTCCCCATACCTGTCACGAACTATGAGCTCAATGCGATGCTCTGCTGCCACCTTCAGGGCCTTGTGGGCCTTGTCCAGGCTCCAGCCAGCACAGTTCTGCCCATTGATCTGCAGGACCTGGTCTCCAAACCGGAGGCCTGCCAGTGAGGCCGGGGAGTTAGCCTGCACCAGCTGGATGAACACCCCCTAGACGATAGTAGGAGAAACACAGATGAAATAAGCAGGAGGGGGAAGGGAAGTGCAAGAGCACTGTTTGTACACAAGCAGAGTAAAAAACCCCACAGGCAGCTGAGAACGTATAAAATTTAATCAAGTAGGAAAATGCACTCTGGACACTGGAGTGACTTGCATACAGGATGCCTGTGGTTTACATCTTGACTATTTTCCCATAGGCAGTGAC